AAAGGACGTAACCCTAGCAAAGGTGGTGAGAACTTTAAGTAAACCAAGTTGTGCTTTTGAAACCCAGACACCAGGATGTGGCCTCGCTTTATCTGAGACTCCGAGATCCCAGCTATGTTCCCAGTTTGTTGGTATAGCTTCACCCTGTGATATCCCCTAACCCGTGTTCCGTCCAGGGGTTCGAGCTGTGTGGTGATTAAGGGCCAAATTTGAACTATGCAACCCTGGGCACCACACCCTGAAGCACACTTCTTGGAGAAAGAATTTGGTGATTTGTAAGTCTACCCTGTGACACTTCCCTGCCTAGTTGAATGAAACTCAAATCTACGAAATAATTCTGACGGGTTAATAATAGGAAAGATACCCTAATTGTTTGGAAGCGGGAAAAAAGGTATGCACAATAAAACCATAGTGCTACGTGCGCAGAGAAACCTTCTTATGAAAGCCCTGAGACCCATTACGAGCCTGGTGCTCATGTGTCCCTCTAACCTCAGCTGCTATCGTCGAGTGAAACGCCCTCCCCGAAAAGTTCCAGTTCCTTAAATCATGAAATGACCTTTTTCTGTTTTTACCTCCCCAATCCCCCTCCCTAGTAACCGTTATCCTGATGATCTTCTGTCCCCCTCTCAGTTCGGAGCTCAGTCTGGGACCTGGAGTCAACACTGGCGTAAGTGTAACTGATGTCCTTTACCTCACGCCCGAGAACCTAGAGCATTAGGTTTAATCATTCCCTTGAAATACGACTCTCCCTGGCTCATGCACAACCGCTCAATTGATTCTCCCCCATTGGCTAGAAGAATATAATAGGGTTACAGGAACTACGTTGAAGCTGAATGATTTTCTGCCCCGAGCGAGGAAAGACACTCTGCTTCATGTGCCCCCACTGAGGGTGCCATGGTTGAATTAACTTGTCTCGCTCCCCTTACATGAAGTTCCTCCTACTCCTAAATAACCTGAGCCAGTACAGCGGAATGGTGGACGAAGGTGGTCTCACATCACTATCTCTGCCTCCGTAAGGACAAGGGGAAGTGCGTGGGAGGTTTTTTTCTTTGTTTCGCCTGGTCAACCTGTCTCTTTTGTGTGCAAAGGT